GCTGTTTTGGAATGAGTGTGTGGAAGAATGGGACAAAAACCCGATTTTAAGCACTAAAAACTACATGGTCTGCTGCGCGAACACTGCCCGTGTTCCCACAGGCCAAATCGACACGGCCCGTGTTGGGGTCAAAGTTCCTGAGAAATGCTGAACACGACCTGTGTTCATTATAAGGCAAAATTCAACACGGGCCGTGTAGCCCTCTGTTTGCCAAAGTAAATTCATCGATTGAACACGACCCGTGTTCATTATAAGGCAAAATTGAATACGGGCCATGTACGGCTCTGTTTGCCACTCCTCATTTTTTAAACCCAAAAATCCCCTCTCATTCAAACGGAATGTTTTTGCATCCCGAGGTCCGTTTTGGTGATTTTAAATCATGTTTAAATGCATTTGGAACATTAAAAACCAAAAACTCAAAGAAATGGAAATTGTTTTTAAAGAAAAAGACAGAAATACCCCCGGGTTGCCTCCCGGTTAGCCGCGCTTTTTTTAAGTCCTTGGCTCGACTTGGCCCCTTAATATGCTTCGTTCTAAGTATGTGGGCCTCTCCAACACATCAACCTTCTCGCCACCTCCTTCAATGGAACATTCAACCTTCCTTTGGCTTTCTTTTTGCGCACAAACCAATAAGGACTTAAACCCTTAATATCGGAGATTGTCCACTCAGTCCTTTTTTGGTATTTATTCAGCAGGGTTATCAACTCCTTATTTTCCTTCTTTGATAGTTTATTAGAGTTGATGACTGGTTGAGTGCTCTCCTTCTCGTCATGTATATTCTTTAAAGGGTCTGATGGAGTTTTTGCTCCCGAATCTTGTGCTTGTTCCACCGGTGGAAGGAATTTGGCTTTGGTAGTAGGTGGCTTGGGTTCCATATCATCAATCCTCATATGCTTCTTGTCATCAATAAAATCCAAAATCTCCAGCACCTCATTATTCATATCGAACTCCTTTGCAATCTCTTTGGCTTTGTTGCTATCTAATTTTCGTGACAAAACTAACTCTAGAAATTCATTGTTAGACAAGTTTAAACACTTTCTAGTTGAGGGCTGGATCAAATTCACAAGATTGACAGATTGAACATCGAAAGGATCCTTTTTTGCTTCATGAACATTGAAGTTGATAACTTCACCATCAAATTCCATACTTAAAGTTCTGTTGTACACATCGATTTTTGTTTTAGAAGTTTTAAGAAAAGGTCTACCCAAAAGTATGGAACTTGAACTTGGAGAGTCATCATCTCCCATATCTAAGACATAAAAATCGGCCAGGAAAACAAATTCATCAACTTGCACTAACACATCCTCCAATACACCTTTTGGATGTACCAAAGACCAGTCGGCAAGTTGGATGATCACACCGGTTTTGCTCAATGTTCCTACACCAATTGATTTAAAAATAGAAAACGGTAGGACATTTATGGATGCACCTAGATCGAGCATGGCTCGAGGTACATAAAGATTCCCCAATTTGCATGGCACGGTAAATACACCGACATCATTGCACTTCGGGGGCATCCTCTTTTGCAAAACCGCGGATACATTTTCCCCAACTTTTACAATTTTGTTTCCTTTCAACTTCTTTTTAGATACACAAAGATCCTTAAGGAACCTTGCATAACTAGGTACCTGCTTAATGGCCTCGAGGAGTGGGATGTTAATGTGAACTTTCTGGAACATTTGCATAATCTCACTCTCCTCCCGTTCTTTCTTCATGCTCTTTAATCGTTCGGGAAATGGAGCAGGTGTGGCATTAGACTCAGTGATGAAGGGCTTATTTTCGGTTGTTTTATCTTCATTCTTCTCTTCTTTGGTTGCCTCTTCAACCATTATTTCTTCTTCTTCTTGATCAACCGACACTTTTGGACCATCGTAGCTCTTTCCACCTCTTAAAGTGATGGCACACACGTTGTGCCTTGAGTTCGTTTTTGTTTGGGCGAGCAACTTTCTTGAGATTCTAGTTTGCTTACAGAAATAGCAAGCTGTGAAACTTGTTGCTCTAAGTTCTTTATACTTGCTTTTGTCTCTTGTTGGAAAGTTTGGGTGCTAGTGGCGAAACTCTTCACTATGTCCTCTAAGGACATACTTGATGAACCTGCTTGTTGAGGAGGGTGTTGTGGCTGCCTTGGCTGAAAGTTCTGTGGTGGAAAAGGTGGTCTTTGTTGGTATTGATGTGGTTGACTTGGTTGATAACTTCCCTGTTGATTTCCTCCCCAACCTTGATTGTTGTTCCATATTTGGTCATTCCGTGGCTGCTCAAATCCCCTTTGGTTTGACCCGGAATATCCTCCCATGGCTTTTGCTTCTTCATAATCCTCATCTTGAAGTTGAGGGCACATGTCAGTTGGATGCCCCACTTGAGTACAAATACAGCAAGGGCGGGGTGTGGGTTGCACACCCTTAGACAACATCATTACAACTTTTGTAAGCTCAGACAATTGAGCTTCAATTTGAGGAGTTTGCACTTCCTTTACACCTCGGGGTGCATCCGTGTACCATTCTTCATCATGGCTTGAATGCTTAGAATCTTCAGCCATGTTCTTGATTAAGTTGCGGATTTCGGTTGGAGTCTTGTCGGGTAAAGATCCTCCACTTGAAGCATTAAGAAGCCTTCTTTCCATTGGAGTCACTCCTTCAATGAAATATTGGAGGAGTTGGTACTCGGTGATTCCGTGCTTTGGACAACAGGCGCAAAGTTTCTTGAATCTCTCCCAATATGTGTGAAAAGCCTCTCTCTTATGTTGCTTGATTCCAATGATTTCCCTCCGTAGGGCTGAAGCTTTCATCTCGGGAAAGTATTTATCCAAAAATAATCGTGCAAGATCTACCCAAGTAGTAACCGTCCCCAGTAGGAGGTCATAAAGCCAGTCTTTTGATGCATCTTGCACCGCGAAGGGGAATGCCCTAAACTTGATTTGATCCTCCGTGACATTATGTGGTTTCATTCCCCCACACACACAACATGGAATTCGGTTAGAAACTTGTGAGGATCTTCATTTTCCAGGCCTCTAAAGGTTGGGAGTAAGTGGATGAGCCCAGATTTCAGTTCTAGGTTGGTGGCTACCGGATATATGATGCAAAGAGGTTGTTGAGTAACCTCTTGCCTCGACCATTGACGGAGAGTTTGTTCGGGTGGTGGGTTTGGAGGTGGATTCCCTCCATGGTTATCTCCCATGGTGTGAGTAGTGGTTGAAGTTTATGTGGGTGTAGTGTTTAGGATATTATAAGTAGGTGAAGATGGTGGAGTGGTATTTTTGGGTGAGGATGGTTGAGATGAGAGTGATAGGCTTTCGGTTTCGGATGCGGACACACTTGAGAGGGGTATATCCTCCCAAATGTTGATTACTGTAGGGTTAGAAGATGAAGAAGTCCCGGAACCCGGTTGCCTCTTACGAAGCTTGGCTTGCTTCCGTAACCTCTTTACAGTCTTATCTATTTCCGAGTCAATTGGCAATGGCGTACATGTACGAAAAGATCTAGGCACAACCAATTAGTAACACCGTGCCCCCAGCAACGACGCCCATTTGTTAGGAGTGTCAAACCCAACAAATAAAGGGGTACGAAATACTCCAAAATAATACTACTATATTGCACTAAAAGGTAGTACAAGGCAAGTAGGGTCGATCCACAGAGACACGGGACAATTGGTCTATACCTCTTTGCACAAGGTACTACGGTCACCAATAGTAAAGAGAGGGGGGGGGGGGGGGGGGGGGGAGGGGGAGGAGGGGTTAGAACGTAATGATTAAACAAACAATTAAAAACATAAGTAATCAACTAAATGAGTGAATTAAATTCAGAATTTGTAAGGACTCCAAATCTATGTATGACAACTTAGCAATGCGATTCCAAGACAACATGATATTTGCTCAATTCTATCTAAGATGGTACTTGAAAGTGTTAACAAGCTCTAACACTTCCCATTCACTACATTAATTAACCAAAACAAGCTCTTTGATTAACCCTAACCTTACTAACCTAACCTAAACACGCTCTTAGAATTAGATTGAAAGATTGCATTAAACTTTATGTGAATGTTCCCAACAACACCCAATACTCCTCACAAGCTCGGGAGCGTAAGAGTGTGTGAATAAGATTTACACTAAATTCATTCAATGGAAATCAGTTTAGTGCTTGTTACTTGTTCAATTTCACAAAACAATTACGGATTTTGTAAAAGATATAACCTGAATGACCTAACCCTAATTCAAATGGCCAATAAGAATCACAATTAGAATCAAACATTCGATTGAAGCAAAATCAAATTCACTAGATAGAAATTAAAAGCAAACATCAAGTCATATGATTGAAATCACAACTAAGAAGTCAAGACATGAAGTTGGAGAAACTAGGGTTTCTAGCCACACATGGCTAGAACAATATCAAAAGTTAAAAAGATGGAAATAATGTGCAATTACAACTTACAAATACTAGAAATAATGTTTCCAGATGATTACTGATCAAACCCTTGCAAAAACCTTCGAAATCCCCTCTCCCAATGTGCTCGTATATGCTGTGTGTGTCCCCAAATGACCCAATTTCCGTAATATGAAAGATAGGAAAAACTGCCAAAAGTTGGTTTTTGGGTCGAACACGGCCCGTGTTGATTTGCGCTAAACTGACACGGCCCGTGTTCAGCATGGTCAACACGGCCCGTGTTGATTTGCACTAAACTGACACGGCCCGTGTTCAGCATGGTCAATAACTTCTTTTCTGGTCAACACGGCCCGTGCTCCTTTTGCAGTGTAAATCCAACACGGCCCGTTTACCCCTCTGACTCCAATTCCAAACTTGATTTTTCCAACTTTTCCGTTCTTCGCCCGATCATCCCGAAATCTTCACCAATGCTTCCCGACACCTCCCAAAGCGCGTTCCAACCTCCGGTTTACCTGAAAAAGACATAAAAGTGTGCAAATAAGGTTTTTTCAGAGACTAACATGAATATGATGAAATGCAAGAAAAAGGAAGAACAATTATGCTAAATAGATGTATGAAAAGGGACTAAAAGGTGTGCAAAAAAGGTGCACAAATTGCAACTAACACCTTCCCATCCTTACCATTCAAAGTACCACCAGAAGTATCACCACGGGAAAACCTTGCGACTGAGGCGAAGATATGAAAATTCCCAATCCAAAATGATGACAATCTTTTCTCCAATTTTGGTACATTTGAAACTCGTAGAAAGCGGACAAACGCAAAACGTTTACCCAACTTTGATCGCTTATGAGCAATATGATCAGCCACCTTAGCATACTTCTCACAAAGTGATCTCAACCCCTTAACATCAACATCTTCCAGGAAATTGGTGATAAAGAAAATATGTGGAAATATTCTCCAATTCATGAAACTTGGAATTAACAGGCTTACCAGGTTCTTTTGGAGGGATTGAATAATGTTTGTCACTTCCAGGTTTCTTCTTAGTCTTCATAAAACGCCATTCCCAATCCCCATCTTGATCCCTGTTTTCCTGATCAGCATGCATATCGAAAAGAGTTTTGCAAGCATAAAAGAAACCCTAAAAAATCCCTCCCCACAACAAGGTATTATGAACAAAACCAACAAAGGAAGGGATAAGACAGCAATGGCAAAATCGCAGGGAGAAGACAAGCCGTCGGCGTTTGATCCCGTCAGAAGACGTCAGCGTCTGATTCCGCCAGAAGACGCCCGAAATCACCGGAAGTATAATACTATAATAGGTTTAAAAAGCAAGATAAAACCATTTCTAATTTAAATACTTCAATAGTGGACAAGTTTAAGCTAGTCAACTTGGTTAAAAAGGTATCTGACAAAGTGTTTTCTAACAAGGATGTCTTCGGTTCAATCCCATGCATATATACTAACTTATCGTTATAAAAAAATACGTCAACAGTGGTACAATATGATTAATATCCATTTATTTATAGATTTATTCCGATAATACTTTTGTGACAAATTACTAAATATTAATTATAATGATAATTAATACTATCATTTCCTTATTTTAATATCTTTAAAATAAATTTTAGAGTCTTTACCTGTTTAATAGTGCAAGTTTTATGCATTTTGGCTTCTCAAGAAAGTTTAATTACTATTATAAGAATCAAATACTTCAATCGCTCACCACCTAGAGATGAAAGAAAGCATATTAAACTCGAAAAACTTGAGAAAAAAAAGATGTTTTGTAATTCATAAAAGAAAAAGAAAAGAAACATTATTGTGATTAAAAGAAAGCATATTAAACTCGAAAAACTTGAGAAAGAAAAGATGTTTTGTATTTCATAAAAGAAAAAGAAAAGAAACATTATTGTGATTATTTTGAAGGAAGTTATGATATATTTATAAAGAAATGAGGGCTTTATGACACGAAGATCTTTTAAAAGTTCATCCCAACTCCAAACATTTGAAATGTAAATAAAATCTAGGCTAAGATTTGGTATAACGGAAATAAATTTCATTTTATAATTAAAGCATCTAACTGTACATGAATCGGATGCATGCAAAAACAAACCCAGCCGAATTGGAAAGCACATTAAGCCAACATTAGGTATATCTAGAATAGGTGTCATATGTTAAAATCAAGTATACAAATCAAATATCAAAATTAGAATTATACAAATATAACTATTTACCACACCAATTTAGGGAAGCATGCATATTTACATAAATAGTCCATATTTCATGGAAATATTACAAAAATGATCTATGTATGTATATTTAAACAAATGGTCCTCCTTAATAGAAATATTAAAGAAATAATTTAGGAAAGCGTGTATATCTAGGGAGTGTTTGAGAGTGCTTTTTGAACTCTAAGGTGCCGTTTATTTTTCGAAGCGAAAATGTTTAAAGTCTGCAGACCACCTCTGCAACTCTCTGTTGTAGTAGAAGAGGGTGACCAAACGGCTGCAACATGTAATAAAAAGTTTGTTTGTTTTTTAACCTCTGCAGGCTGCTGCAATAAGTTAAAATAAGGCGTGAACAGGTTTGAAGCAGAGGGTCATGTGTTGCGCCACACAGCACACGCGCAACAGTTTTTAAGTCAAAAGTCTTCTGAAAAACAAACAATTGCAAAGGGCCAAGTGTTGAGCGTGTGTTGCGCGACGCAACAATAAGTGGTTAGAAGTGGTTTTTAAGAAAAAAAACAAAAGTGCTTTTAGAAGTGGTAAAAAGGACAGAATACCGACTAAAACTTCGGAATAACGCTTCGTAGCAGGTTTCGCAGATTTAGTCACTATTCTAGCTTTTTTTCGTTAATTTGTCAAAATATTATGATTTTTTTGAAGATTACGATATTTTTGTTAGAAAATAAAGGGATCAGAATAACAATAAATATAGACTTTGATAGATTTAAGGACCATGTTTATCAAACACTTTTTGAAATCTATAATTCGTCCCTTTTGCCTGGGGGTACACGAATTCAGAAGTGAGATAATCCAAGAATGAACCAATCTGAATTACAGGCCTAATTCAGATTGTGAAACACAGAATACATGTTAATGTATTCTTGTGAGATAGAACAAATCTTAAAATCATATTTTGAGAGTATATAGTTTGTAACCTGTTTTCTGGAACACGAAGAATGTTCTTATACCACAGGAAAACTGGTTATGGCGGTTGCCTCCATATTTGGCGCCAAAACTGGTATTTATGAAACATAACTAACGTTTGCATGGAGTCGATGTGAAATCCGTTTAGGTTTCGGGACGCTGCCCCGAGCCTCACTAGGGGCTCTGCCTCTTGTACCCCGCAAGCGGTGCTGCCCCTAGATCCCTCCAAGAGGCTGCAACCCCTAGGAACCCTGCATCCAAGGGCGCTGCCCTAGACCCCCATATTTCCGAGATCACATTTATAACACCGAGTGTGCATCCCGTACCTCCAAACTTGGTTAGTAAATGGTGCTCGAGCTATCTCATTATTAATATAATATTTCTAGTAAAGTTAAACGATTTGTGGAATGGTCTCTATTTACCACAAATGGTTCCACTTTACTAGAAATATTATATTAACAGTGTATTTCTGCATATTTACACAAATGATTCATGCTTAATAAAAATATTACAGATATGGTCTATATGGTTCATAAAGTTATATAAATCTCCATTGTCTAATAGCAAATTTGCAAAAATAATCCATGTTTTTCACAATATTAAAAAAATAGTCTCTCAGTTGTATAGATATTTTCCATTCATTTCACAAAAATACAAAAATGTTCCTTGTTTTTCTTAAAAATGCAGATATAGACCATGCCTAATAACAAAATTATTAGAAACTATGTTCTACAAAATTACTGAAATGGTCAACACCTAATAGCAAAATAACATAAACGGTACATATGTTTCACAAAATTATAAATTGGTCCTTGCATATTATAAAATTTCTCGACATAAACCCCGTGTTTCAAACAAAATTACAAAAATCGACCATATGTAAGAGAGTTACAGAAATGGAGTCAATAATATAAGATTAATAACCTTGTCGCGATGTACATGTCATCCACTAGTTATGATTATAAACTATGGTATGCATTCCTACTTGCACCACATTAATTCTTAAGTTAACATTTTAACCTGTAATTTTAAAGTTACAATTTTGATCATTAAATGAAAAATCTTTATTAAACAAAAACTATTTTTTAAATTATATAAATTAATTTTTTTAAAATTGATGTAAAATTTCTAAGTTAGTTAATTTAATCTAATAAATGAAAATCACATTTGATTGATTAGATAAAAGTTGAATTCAAAAGCTTTACCATTGAAAATTAAAGAATGACACTTGAATAAATCCATTTAAATACGATATAGACTTTGTAACATCCATTTTTTAGGTATTAATTTTTCAGCATTTAGTTTAAGTCTTGATTTTGGGGTTCTGATGTCGGTACGGTGCGATGGTTTGATGTTCGCGGAGCGGCCATGACATTAAGTTGCGGTGCAGTTACCTTGTCGCCCGCGACACAATGACAGCCAATACCCAAAACCTTAGGTCTCGATATTGAGATCTATTTAAAATATGAGGTGCTTAGGGTTTGCTCTATTCCCAGCCTCCATCTCTAGAGAATGTCAAAGCAAACCCTAGTCCCTATATATTGTGATTCTAAGCCTTGAAACCTTGTTTCTATGCGTCTTGAAGAAGAAGAAGAAGAAGACGTGTGTTGGTGCAAGGAGGAGTGTGTCAAGCTAGATCCAATGATGTGAGCATCTTTTGGACATTTAGAAGTCTTCAAGACTGGATCTTGTGGTGTTGTTTTGATTACATCTAGGATTTAGAGCTTGTTTTGGTCCATGATTTGAGATCCTTATGGTGTTTGGCAAACACCAGGGATAAAGCTTGAGTCTTGGGGTCTTTTGGACCCTATAGAATAAAACCTCAAGTTTTTGTCTTCCATTTTGCACCATGAAAGACCTTTGTGGCATCTTGAGTATGATCTAGATCTAGGGGTAGGGTTGAGTTGGTTTGATGGATTAATGGAACAAGACCATGGTTAAATGTTCTGGAAGTTTAGAGCCCAGGTCTTAATGGATTAAGACCTTGGTTAACAAAATACAGGAACTTTATCCATTAAAAACTTATTTCAAAATATTTTGGAAGTTTAAAGCCCTTTTCTTAATGGATTAAGAACTTGGTTAAAATTTGGTTCTTTAGCGTTAACTGTTGCACGATGATCTTCATGTCACGATGTGGATTGCGAGATCTGATCACGACTATCTTGGACATGACCGCAACACGACCTGGGTGTTGGTTATGACACGGTGGTCGATGGAATGTTGACTTTTTGACTATTTTGAATTTTCGTCAAACTTAGGGTTTTGAGTGGTAGATGGAGCTTTGACCACTATTTAGGTTCGATGGTATGAGTAGCTGCTTTTGGGTGACCTGTTGTGCTTCAGCTTTGGATCAGGTGATGTTTCTCACTATATGATATTATGCACTATATATATTCTCTGTATGCTATGATGGTATGTTGTTAGGCAGTTAGACTCGTTAGTTAGTTGATTGTGGTGTTGGATTTTTGTTTATTTGTCTTTTATATATGTTAACATATCTTGTGGTTAGTTGAGTCGGTTTAACTTTCTGTTGAAGGCCAAGATGCTCAGGTGGACCAGCTTAATGCTGAGACCAGGAGCAAACCAACTTTATACCGAAGGCAGTTGAGACAGACCAACTTTATGTTGAAGGTCAATGCTTGTATAAATGCATGTACTGTAACAATTATGGTATTTTGGGGAACTCACTAAGCTCTACCTTATAGTTGTGGATTAAATGTTTCACGTACTTTGGATGATCATGGGGAAGGCTACACTATACACACTCACCAACAACTATCATGTTTGAGATTTCGTGTTGTTTTATGATACTCTAATTTTTTGGGATTATGAGTTATGGAACAAATGGTTTTATTGATGTTTGGTTTTATGAAAATGGCTTTTTTATCTTATTTAAAAATTGAAAATTTTATTGTAAAAATTGGGACGTTACAAGTTTGTATCAAAGCCCTGGTTTGAG